GAGAGATTGTAGGAGATAAGGTATGATTAAAACAGTGAACAGAAGGGGGTTGGGGAGCAATGGGGCAATAAGGACACATAGATATACCTTAATCAATAAAGAAAAAAAAAAAAAAAGACAGCAGAGTGATAGGAGAAAGCAATAGTTATTATCTCAAAGGAATTTCTCCACTGGAGAGGAAGTGTGACTACCCCAGCTTTACAGATGAGTGTATGTGCCTGGCTCAAGGTCACCCAGACTTGGGGGACAGTGAATGGAGTAGGCCCGATGACCGTCTGGTCTGCTTGGCCAGAGGTCAGATGCGGGGGCCGCCTGGGGGGCACTGAGTTCCGGCGGGGGGGAGGGGGGGCGCAAAGACCGGTGACGTCACCCTCGCGGGGCGGGGCTGAGCGGGACCCCGGCTCTGGCCCTGCTGTCCCGCGCCAGGCCTGGACCCAAAAGGTGATTAGAACTGGGTAGGGGAATCGAGGCCTGGTTCTGGAAGCTTCCTGGAGCTGGAGGTGCGGGGATGGAGGACCAGCAGCGCGTGGGGAGGAGCGGGGAGCCGCTTAGGTGGGCGGCGGGGAGCGCCCCCCTGAGGCCAACCGAGCACTAGGGCTCTCGCTCTGAGTCCAGGCTCTCCCCACAGACCCCCTCCATTCCCTTAGCAAGGCCACAGGCACAACGCCTGTCTTAAATGTTTTTATATTGATTTTAGAGAGGAAGGGAAAGGGCTAGAAACATCGGTCCTGCTGTCTCCTGCGCGCCCCCTACTGGAGATCAAGCCCACAAACCGGGCATGTGCCCTGGCCTGGAATCCAACCAGTGAACTGTTGGTCCATGGGCCCACGCTCACCCGGAGCCACAGGGGCCTGTCACCCCCTTTTAAGAACAAGGAGCTGGGTCACAGAGGATAAGTGATTTGTCCAGGGTCCCACGGCTGGCACCTGGCAGCCCGGGGCACCCCACCGCGCCACAGAAAGGCCTGGGAGAAGGCGCTGCCACAGGCAGATGCTCCACATTCGTGGGGTCCTGCTGACTCATTGAGCACTCGCCCTGCAGTCTGGAGCCAGAATGCCAGCTGGCTCGTGGAGAGGGGGCACCAGGCCGGCCAAGGCCTCAGAGGGCTCAGTGCGCACCTCCTCTCAGAGGGGACCCAGTAGTAAGCCAGGTCACGTTGACAGAGAGCCCAGCTAGGACGCAGGCCGCTGGTGGGGGTGGGGGGCGTGAGCTCTGCCTGTCCGAGGTGCACGTCACCACACTCACTGCCAACATGCCTCAGGAACCAGACGGGCCTCCCTGCCAGCCGGGCCTCCCTTTCAGATCCGCTGTCTGGCTGACCGCCCTCAGACCTCCACTCTCCCAGGCTCGAGATGTTTGTTTCAGGCAGGGCCTGCTGGCCAGAGAGCAGGGCTCTCTTTAAAGTGACTGCATTTCTTGCCGAAACCGGTTTGGCTCAGTGGATAGAGGTTGGCCTTCGCACTGAAAGGTCCCAGGTTCGATTCCAGTCAAGGGCATGTACCTTGGTTGCAAGCACATCCCCAGTGGGGGGGGGTGTGTGTGTGTGTGCAGAAGGCAGCTGGTCGATGTCTCTAACTCTCTATCCCTCTACCCTCCTCTCTGTAAAAAATCAATAAAGTGACTGCATTTCTCTACTTATATCCATTTTGGATCACAATCATAGTTTAACATTCTAATAATTGGTTCCCAATAATTGTCCCCCCGCCTCGTTATACTGCCTTCACCATCCTCTTTCCATAGAACAGATACATTCATCAGTTGTACCCGAGGTTGACTGCTTATTTTAAAAATATACTTTATTGATTTTTTTACAGAGAGGAAGGGAAAGGGAGTTAGAAATGTCGATGAGAGAGAAACATCGACCAGCTGCCTCTTGCACACCCCCTACCGGGGATGTGCCCACAACCAACATACATTCCCTTGACCGGAATCGAACCTGGGACCTTTCAGTCCGCAGACCGACGCTCCACCACTGAGCCAAACCGGTTTCGGCCTGACTGCTCATTTTACTGGGAGCCCTGGCTTTTTGAAATTTTAAAGCCCCCCTTCCTCCCTCTCCATTTCACCATGTAAGATTAAACTAGAGGGATATTTCTGTGTTGGGATGGCAGTCGCCCAAGGGCGGACAGTAGCTGAATGCAGACTGATACCTCTGCCAGAAATGCCACCTGGAAGGGGAGGACCAGCACAAGCCGCGGAAGAATCAGGAATACCTGGCAGATTTTCATGCTCGGACCTCCCCCCCTCACATGAATCGACGTTCGGGGAGGAAAGTGATGAGGCCCAGTAAAGTCCACAGGCGGGACGGGAGCTGGGAGGAGGAGAGGGAAATCTGTAATACTTTCAACAAAGATAATAAAATTTTAAAAAATGTTTTTAATCCCACCCAGTGTTGCGTGCAGAGCGCCCACTTGTGGTAGGATCCATCACTGCAGTTGAGCAGGCAGGAGACCTGGGAGTTGCTTTTTCTAATTCCTGCTCCACTGTTTTTGGGGTGAAAACACTGAGGTCAGGAGAATGGAAATGAGTGACAAGGCAAAGTTCCTGTCATTTGCATTAGAAAACCTGCCCTCCTGGGAGGAGACTGAGATAGTATTTTTTGGGAAAAATATTCTGGTAATTTTCATCAACATCAACATAAGTACCTGCAGAGGAAAATGCCTCACGTAAAGATCTTTTCCTTTTTAAAAAAAATATATATTTTATTGATTTCTTAAATAGCGTAATAGAGGGATAGAGTTAGAAACATCGATGAGAGAATCATCGATCAGCTGCCTCCTGAACACCCCCCACTGGGGATGTGCCTGCAACCAAGGTACATGACCTTGACCAGAATCGAACCCGGGACCCTTCAGTCCGCAGGCCAACGCTTTATCCACTAAGCCAAACCGGTTTCGGCTAAAGGTCTTTTCCTCTTTCAAACCACAGCTGGGCTTGAGGAGCCTACTTAATGCCCGTCTCTACCCCGTGGGCACAGGCAGTGAAGTGAGCGCTACCCCCAGCTGGAGTCAGGTGGTGTGGAGACCGCGTGAGAGGAACAAGCAGATGCACGCAGCAAACATTTTTTTAATACCTCTGGGAGCCAGTCCTGCACTTTAATAGAGGACTCTAACCTGAAAAACATGATAGTCCGGTAGCGGGCTAAGATAAGAACACGATAAAAGACACATTGCACCCTGGCTGGTTTGGCTCGGTGGACAGAGCGTTGGCCTGCGGACTGAAGGGCCCAGATTCTGTTCCAGTCGGGGGCACATCCCCGGGTTGTGGGCTCAATCCCCAGTGTGGGGTGTGCAGGAGGCAGCCGAGCAATGCTTCTCTCTCATCATTGATGTTTCCATCTCTCCCTTTCTCTTTCTCCCTGAAATAGAAACAAAACAAATTTTTTAAAGATACGTTGCAAAATTACAACAGCCCTGAGGTGCAGAGGGGGAAGGAGTGACACAATCTGGCTGCTGCTGCTGGTGGTGGAAGATCTGGAAATGCTTGGCACGCTCCTGGGGGAGGGACCGGCACATAACGAAACTTGTTTTCAGATTGTCCTGTGGCCACGAGTGGGCTGGGTGTGAAGGGGACCTGGGCAGGAGTCCTGAAGGGCCAGGTGCGAGGCGGGGGAGGGGACTCAGGGAACGGCTGCTGGCGCTGAGGAAGGCGCCCAGTGGGACTCTCAGGTTTGGGTACGCCCGAGAGAGGGAGGGTGAGAAGAGCGCAGGTTTGTCATCGTCCCAAAGGGCATTGCAAAGACTGGGGAGTCCTCGGGGAACTCCCCACTTTTGAACCTGATAGGAAAGAAACACCTGCTTTCCTCCAGCCTCAGACACGCCCCCAGATTTCACATGGAGCCCATGAACTCCAGTGCCCCCTACAATAATACACGCAATTGTTCTTTAATGAGGCCTGAAGCCTTCAATTCGATTAGAAACGAAGGCCTGGCAGAGGTGCCAGCTCTGTCGCACCTGCTGGTCAGGCGTGAGTGAGCAGGCTGGGCTGTGCAGGAAAGCCTCCTGCCCGTCTGTGACGTCTGGGACCCGTGCTGAGGACCAGGCCAGTGCGGTGGGGAAGGAGGGTCCAGAGTGGCCAGTGCTCTGGCCTCCCTTTGTCAGGGAGAGTCATTTTTGAGAAGGGGGCCCAGTGGTGTGGCCCCCTCCGCTGGGACGTTCTCCTGGTCCCACCCCATCCCACCCCTCCTTAGGCCAGAGTTTGGGAGGAGGAGGGCCGGGCCCCGCTTCAGTGAAAGGACACATAGGCCCCTTGTTCCCCAGGAAGTCAGGGCAGAGTGCCAGGCAGGGGAGAAGCCTCAGGCGCAGCCTGTCCTTGCTGGGAGGTGTGGGAGCACAACCAGGAGCCTGGTGGGGGAAGTTGGGGAGGAGGAGGGAGTCGGGGAGGAGGGGGAGGGGGGAGGGGCAGCTGGCCAGTTTAGCAGAGCTCATTCCCAGGACTGAGCAGTGAGGACAGAGTGGAGGGGGTGATAGTGATGATAACAAAAAAGGTGGGTGATGCCGAAACCGGTTTGGCTCAGTGAATAGAGCGTCGGTCTGTGGACTGAAGGGTCCCAGGTTGGACTCCGGTCAAGGGCATGTACCTTGGTTGCGGGCACATCCCCCAGTAGGGGGCGTGCAAGAGGCAGCTGATTGATGATTCTCTCATCGATGTTTCTAACTTTCTATCCCTCTCTCTTTCTCTCTGTAAAAAAATCAATAAAAATATATTTTTAAAAAAGCTGGGTGCTGTCTCCATCCCCAGTCTTATGGAAGAAGGAAAAAAGCAGCACAGAAAAATGGCCTTTCTTGGCCTCAGCCAACAGTGTGGGTGTCCTGGCTCCAGGCCTGTCCCTCCTCTGTGGCCCCAGCAGGGGACACTGCCGCCCCTCTGAGGTTAGGAGGACTAACCCTTCCCCCACCCCCAACCCTGGGCCAGGCCTGGTGTTGGCCAAGACCCAGCTGGCGCAGGCTCATCCCCACAGACACAGGCTGCCATCCCTCTACCCTCTCCAGGCACAGAGCCACGGGGGAAAAAACACACAATGGTTTATTTAATCAGAGAGCCTGTGACGGCACCTGGTTTCTGTTGAGTATAAAAAAGGCAGTAAAATAGCATCTGTACAGGATACATGATAGTTAGACACAAGGCAGGCAGGGGAGGGGGGCCAGGGAAGGGACAGGGAGGCTGGGGGAGGAGGTGCAGGGAGAAGGGAGGGGTACAATATCAGACTGGACCTAAGAACAGACAGCCCTGGCCCCTAGCCAGCCCTGGTACAGACAGACAAACATACAGACACATAGACACACACACACACACTCTCTGAGCCTAGGAGACTCTTCTCTCTGCTCAAGTGGGAATCAGCCGGATTGGGGGGGGGACTGTGTCCCCTCCCTCGACGCTGACCCGCAATGCCCACAACGTCCCTCTGTCCAACTGTCCGCCCAGAGGCTCCTTCCTCAGGCCTGGACGCCGGGCCCAGCACAGGCCGTGAGAAAGCAGAATTCAGCTAGGAGAGAAGACCTCCAGCTCGCCCCCGTCCGTCCCTGAAGGACCGGGAAGGAAGGGGCAGGAGCAGGCGGCCAGCGCAGTCCTCTGTGCATCCGGGGTCACACAATGGCCCGGAACAGGAAGGCGAACACAGCCCCGAGCGCCAGGCCCAGAGACAGGAAGAAGGCCATGATGGCCCCCGCGGTCTCCGCCTCCGCCGGCTCCACTTTCCTAGAGGAGGGAGGCGAGGCTGCCTTAGGATGGCCCGACTCCGGCCCTCCAAGCACCAGCGTGGGGAGACTTTTGCCTGAGCACCCAGTTCTGCTGACCAACCCATTCCACCTCCTCAACCCCAATCTGGCTTTTCCCTCTCGGGGGAACATGTCCGGGGGGCTGCCTGCCTCCTTACCCGAGAGTCCCCTCCCACAACCCACCTTCGTGAGCCTGGGCACCCCAACCCTGCACTCCCGACCACGACCGGGTGCCCCTCCCTGCCCGGCTCCTCGGCCTGGAGTCCTTCAGCACCGGGTAAGGGAGGCTTGCCAAAACCGGTTTGGCTCAATGGATAGAGCATCGGTCTGCGGACTGAAAGGTCCCGGGTTCGATTCCGGTCAAGGGCATGTACCTTGGTTGCGGGCACATCCCCAGTAGGAGGTGTGCAAGAGGCAGCTGATCGATGACTCTCTCTCATCGATGTTTCTAACTCTCTATCCCTCTCTCTTCCTCTCTGTAAAAAATCAATAAAATATATATTTTTTTAAAAAAAGAAAAAGATAAGGGAGGCTCCTTGGTCCTTTCCTAAGGTGACCAGACGTCCCGCCCAAAGCTAGACATCTGGTCACCTTCCCCTCCCCTCCCCCCCCGTGTGGAGTGTGCCCCATCGGAGCGTGAGGCCCCGCCCGGCACTCACTTGGGCCCGAAGCACATGCAGAGGCTGGCGAGGTAGCCGTTGGAGAAGGCGAAGGCGGCCATGAAGAAGATGAACCACGCGTCGTGCTTGAAGACTACGATCGGGTACTGGCGGGGGTGGACGTTGCACAGCAGCAGCAGCGGCACGAACACCAGCCGGGCCAGCACCAGGCTGGGCAGCCAGCGGCTGTCCTTCCCAGGCTGCAGGGGGACCAGGCGGGGCCTCAGCCGGGCAGCCACCAGGCCTCCCTCCCCCCCCGGGGATCTGCACTGAAACCTCAACGCCGGTTACCCTCATGGGGACCGATGGGGAGGGGGGCAGGGTGGAACCTTCTGGAATTCTGGGGATGGTATCCATCTTGACCTGGGAGGTGATTATACAGGGGGATGTGTGTGTAGACCTTAAGCAGTAAGCTGAAGACTTGTACACCTCGCTATACAGAATGTCTGGGTTTTATAAAAGCCTGCTTCCCGCGTCACCATACTCTCTTGGTGGGCTTCACAGGGCTCAGGGTGGACTCTCGCCCCTCACTGGGGCTCGGTGCCCTCTGCGCCCACTTACCCACATGGTTATGGTTGTGAGGCTCCGGCCCAGCCAGTCGAAGACATTGAAAGTCAGGAAGCAGGACACAGGGATGAAGTAGTGTCCTTGGGAAGGAGGAACCCATCAGGGGAGGGCAGACTCAGCAACCTTGACCCTCCTGGGTCCGAGTGTCCCCAGGGCAGGGTGAATAGACCGAGAGAGACCAGCCGGGGAGATGGCAGCCCGGGTCTCTCTTCCCCACGCCGTCCTGCGAGAGCCCTCCACCCCACCCTGGGAGCCATGGTGTCCTCACCCCAGGCGCTATCGCCTGCAATGCTGGACTTGACATCAGAGGTAACAGCGGGAAACAGCCCGATGGTGACCGTGAAGATGAAGCAGACGGAGAGAGCTGGGACCAAAATCTGGAGGAAAGGGCCCAGGTCCAGTCTTCATGAGAGTTGTGCATTACAGAAACACACGCACACACACACACACCAGCCATGCATTACAGAAACACACACACACACCAGCCATGCATTACAGAAATACACACACACATACACACACACACACGCATACTTTCTCTCTCTCTCACACACACACACATACACACACACACACATGCACACACCCCAAACACACACCAGCCATGCATTACAGTAGGGGAGTCGAACTCAATCAGAGAAGGGGCCAAAATCTAAAATCCAGCCTAAATCGCGGGCCGAATGGTTTACTGAACAGTCATAAACTGTCATTGTGATGGAAACGCAGCGGAGTGCAGTGATGACAGCGCGGTGCGGGCCACATTGCAAGGCCTGGCGGGACGGATTTGGCCCGCGGGCCTTGTGTTTGACACATGTGCATTACAGTAACACACACACACACACACACACACACACACACACACACCAGCCATGCATTACAGAAACACACACAACAGCCATGCATTACACACACACACCAGCCATGCATTACAGAAACACACACACACACACACACACACACACACACACACACCAGCCATGCATTACAGAAACACACACACACATGCACACACGCGCGCGCGCACACACACACACACGCACACACATAAATCTAGGAGAGTGGCTGGAGAGGGATGGGATGGACTGTGTGGGGATGGGTGGGGAGTGAAAGGGGGAGGGGAGAGGGCACGCACATTTCTGAGGATGGCCCGGACTGAGCTTTTGTTGTTGGGCTGAGATTTGGGGGCTGAAACTCCAAATTCCTCTTTGCCTGCTCTTGACGCCTCTCCTGGGGGTAACAGGTGGTGGAAGGATTTCCAAATTATAGGAAAGACAAAGCAACAGGAAATGACAAACATTCCCCAAAAGGGCTGGGGTTAGGTGGGGGTGGACACTTCCTTTCACAGTGCACAGGGCACCCTAACAGCCAGCACGGACCTGGAGATCCTCACAGTGCCAGTCCGTGTCCTGACCGCTCCCAGGAGCCTCAGCTCATGCTACACCTGTCCCAGAATCTGAAATTGCTTCCCATTCAGGCCCTCCCCCTATTTCAGTTTTCACAGCTCTTATTCCCCAGTGTCCTCTCCCCTCCCCCTGGTCCCTCTGCCTCATCTCTGCCCCTAAATACAGCGCACCCATCCCTGCCCTCTGCTCAGCTGCCCCCTGCCAGGACCTCCTCCATCCCCGCTTCCTCGGCCTATTCAGACCTTTACTAATGAGGTCCAGCTTGGTCTCCTGCTCCCCAGGCCCTTCGAGCTTGAGCTGCTGGTAGTAGCGGTAGAATTCCTATCACGTGAGGAAGACAAAGGTGGACTCAGAACCGGGATCTCCAGAATCTCTGCCTCCCCCAGGCGTCAGCCTCAGAACACCCGTGGCCCAGAGCCCAAACCCCCCACTTTCCCCTTTTGCTCACCAGCCGGGGCAGTCCCAGGTAACAAATGATGGTCAAAATGATGACCCCGCAGGCTGTGATGAAATAGCCGAAGGCACTTTCTGACAGCTCTGAGCCACCTGGGGTGGAGGGCGCCAACAGTGAGACAGGTCCACAGCCCTCCCCACGCAAAAACCAGACGGGCAGGTCCGACAGACGGCAAGACTTACTGGCGATGGCGCAGATCATGGCCATGGAGGCGAAGATGCCTGCCAGGCCCTGGCCACTCATGATGGGGGCCGTGTAGTGGGCGGGCAGGAGGCCGGCCAGACCAAACAGGCTGCCCTGCAGGATGGCACCGAATGCTGGGGGAACAGGGTGGGCATCAGCAGGGGTGCGGGCGGAGTGGGACTCACTTCCGCCGGGGGCTGTTGGGGCCCATGGGAAAACAGGTTCCTGTAGCTCCTGCTCTACTGCCAGGGGTCCTGCTGCCCAGTGGCCCTTCTCTCCGCCCCTCACCCCTCCCTGCCACTCAGGAATCTGAGCCCTCCCTGCCCACGGCATCCATGCCTCTGGGGGCTGGAATGAGCTCTTCTCTGACGGTGGGTCCGAAGGAAGGGTGGGAGATGTGGAGAGATGTCTGCCCCTGGCGCCCTCCCAGCCCCGCTTACAATTAATGAGCATGATCTTGACCATGGTGATGATGAAGAAGGGCAGGGCGTCCAGGTGCACCCTCACCAGGATGGCCGTGACCAGGAACACCAGCAGGATGGCCACCAGGCTGCCCAGGATCCGCACGGACTGGGGGATCCTGCGGGAGGGGCCGGGGTGGCAGAGAGGCAGGTGGTGAAGGCAGGGGCTCGGCCCCCGGTGCTTGGGGGAGGGGGGGTGGGCCAGCCGGGGGTCAGGCTGGGCCTGGGCGCTCACCGCTGATGCAGGAAGGAGTTGAGGCAGGTGAAGATCAGCAGGGGGAGCATGGCACACAAGGTCATGACGTTGTTGAAGATGGAACTCAGGTAACTCCGATCTGAAGGGGGTACTGCAGGCGTGGCTGGCACCTGGCTGTCCCTGCTCAGGTCGGCAGCGGCCAAGGACGTGTTCTGGGCCTGGCCCAGGCGGTTTGTGAAATACTGCAAGGGGGGGGGGGCAGGGCGGAGGGTGAGAGCCGCTCGCCCAGTGCCCACGGGCACAGGCCCAGGCCCTCCCTGCCCAGCGGACATGCCCCCTGGAGCCCAGCCCCCCAGGCTCACCAGAGTGGCTGTCATGAAGAAATTCCAGGGGAGCAGGGTCCCCAGGCCCAGCATGAAAAAGACAAGCCAGACGGCTTTGTACCTGGGGAGGGGAGAAGAAAGAGGAGCCGAGTGACCCGCCATCCCACCCCCTTCCCAGGTCAGACTCGGAAGCCCGTCCCTCCTGCCTTCAGGCTCTCCGGCCATCCCGGGGCACAGGGCATCTGTGTTTGTGTCCAAGTGCATGTGTCCTCCTCCGTGTTTGTGGAGGGGGAGGTGTCCTGGGAGAGGGAACAGGCCCAGCTGTGTGCAGAGGAAGAGGAGGAGGAGGAGGAGGGACACAGGCTGAGGGACATGGCCACAGGACGGCGGTTCGCAGTCCCCGAAGACTCAGGGGACCCTGCAGGCTTGGGAACCAGTGAGATCCACACATCTGGAGGTGGTTTTGGAAATGCTGCTCTATAGGAGGGGGGTGGGGGGGGGCAGGGAGGGGCGGTGGGGGAATGAGAAGCAAACAGCAGTGTCTCCCGCCCCCGCCCGCAGGGCTGGCTGTTGTCGATGATGCAGCCTGGCTGGGGACCATGCGGCTCCCCAAAGAGAATTCTGAGGTCGAGAAACTCCCAGACCATTCTGGATCTAGCGGGACAGGCAAGGTGCCCGGGGGCAGCTGGGAAACGAGGAAGCTGTTTTTTCCAGGCCCAGACAGAACCGGCTTTGTAGGTCACACCGCCCAGGCTGGGCCGGGACGGATCCGGCCACTGACCGTCGTCTGGGCCCCGGAGTGTAAATAAGTGCCGCCCCTGCTTCTGCCAGGTCAACTCCACGTCCCACACCTCAGGGCCTGTCTGGGACAGGCCAGCTTCTCCCAGGCAGCCCTGGGTGCTCCCGCTATGGTCTTCGGATGTGTCTGCCATGCCCTCCCGACAGCCAACAGCTGCTTTCTTCACAGACGGCAGGGCAGTGAGGGCAGGTCTGGCCAGAGCGCAGTGCCTGGCCTCACCCAGGGAGGGCCTGGGTGAGCGCCCCCATGGGGCAGGTCTGAGTCATTACAACTGCAGTCCCCAGCTCCCTCTTATTCCCTTGAAACAGAGAGCTAAGGGCTTGGTTCGGAGACCCAAAATGAAGAGAGAGACTCCCAGTCAAGGTCACACTGGAAAGGGTCTGGGGAGGGGCGGGATGAGTGCTGGAGATGGGGGCGGTGAGGCTGGGAAGGGGCAGGCAAGCAGCCTGGGAGTAGGGAGAGCAGCAACCTGGGGCCTGTACTTTCTGTCCCCTCAAACCCTCGCCCATCCAAACAGACCACAGGTGGGAAAGGGCCCCAGGGGGATTAGTGCCCCAGGACCCACAGCCAGAAATAGTCCGGCTCTGTGGCTTTGGGCACGGGAGGGAGACGGAACGGGAGGGAGAGGTGGAGGGGTGAAGAGCTTTGGACCTGAGACTTGACTTCATCAACCTGCTTGGGTCCCAGACTCCCTGGAGAAGGTGGACCAAGCCACAGCCTCTTCCCCCAAAACACATCCGCTCGGCCAGGCGTGCGAGTCTGACCGGACCCGCAGGCCCCAGAGGTGCAAAAGGGAGAGGAAGGTCAGAGCAAGGACCGGGAGCGCCAAGGTCACGTGGGACAGAAGCAGCCCCGAGGGAGGGGCAGTTCTGCCAGATGTGCTCTGGAGTGAGGGGCACTGCCAAATGCCTCCCCGTGGCGGTAGCGAGGCCGGAAGCCGGGCGGCTGGAGAGCACCAGCGGAAAAACTGACAAGCAGGGAGGAGCTGTCACTCACCCACCCTGACCCTCCCCACAGACACCCCTGTCAGCACCCCAGGGCAGGCATGGCCCCCACCCCTGAGACAGACCTGACTCATAGCCCTCTGGCGGGGAGGCCAGTCAGCAGCAGCGACAACTCCGAATTCCAAAGGACACGCCGCCCAGCCCCCTAGAGACCCATTTCCACACCCCTGGGCCCCCAGCCCAGGTCTCCCCGTACCTGTCCTGAGGCTGGTGACTGGTTGTCATGGTGACTGCAGTCTTGGTTTTGCCTGGCTGAGTGCTCTCTCCCTCTGAGGCAGTGCGAGAGGCCTTGTCTCCGTGTCCTGTTTCCCCTCAGGCCTCTGCAGATTCTTGGGGTGTCGGCGGGGGCAGGGCAGACAGAGCTTGAAAACCGGGATCCCAGCAGGACCCCTCCTGGCCCTGCCTCTCAGGACTGCTCAGCCTGACCCCTCTGGCTGGTCCCGTCAGGCCCCCCTGCCTGCTCTGGCTCTACCTGGCAGCAGGCCTGGCCTGGCCACTGTCACTGCTATTTTTACCCAGCAGCAAAGCCGTCTGTAAGCTGGCAGACCGGAGGGTGGAGAGCAGGAGGGAAGGTGGAGGACGTCTGATTGAGAGGGAGGGAAGAGACAGGCAAAGGCAGGGAAGAGGATGAGAAGGGTCAGGGACAGTGACGACAGGGGAAGGAGGGACAGGGGGAGGGAAACAGAAGGGAGACAGAGTGGAGAGGGGGAGGGGTCACCAAGCTGACATCTGCAAGAGCAGCAGCCGCAGGGACCATGGCTGGGGCCGAGCCAGCGGCCTGCCCTCCTGCCCTCCCACCCTCCCTGGACTCGTGGCGAGGGTGGCTCTGGAGAACCTGTGACCTGCTGGAGGCGCCCCAGGCCCCAGCTTCTCTGCTGGTGGCACCTGGACCTTCCTTTCCAGCCACCGCCCTGGGGCTTCCTAGTCCCGGGTCATTTTTCCAGGAAAACACTTTCTGATGAGTGTGGGACACAGCCTTTTCCACAACCTCGCTTGACCCTTCCCCCGACCCCCCAGTCCTGGCCCGAGCCACCCCATCCCCCGCTGGTTCCTCTCTCACTCCCATGCCCCTCTGCACTCTTCCCCTTTCTCAAACAAGCTTGCAGGGAAGATTGGGGGGTGGAGGCACAGGCCTGACTGACTGCATAGTCCCCAGGCTCCTACCCGCCCCCTCCAGTGTCCCTCTCCTGTTCCCCCCACCCTGTTATTTCCTTAGCTGGGACCTCTTGGGCACCAGCAGATAAAATGTGCTGCTGCACCCTTCCACCTCCCCCCCCGCCCCACTCCTCCCCAAGTGAGGGCTTGTTTTGGAGCCAGGAGGACTGGCTTCCCTCATCGCCTGCGCTGCCCGCCCGGGCCTGCACTCACCAGATGCCCGGGCTGGCCAGCAGAAGGGACAGAGGCTGGGCAGTCCCTGGGAGGTGGTCCTAGCTCCCGCGCAGGCAGGCCTTGTCCATGGGCTCCTCCTGGGGAAGGGTCCAGAATGAAGACAGGGCAGAGAAGCCCCCTTGCCTTGCCGTGGGAGGAAGCTGTCCCGTTCTGAGAAGCCTCACACACACCCTCGGCCAGGGAGATAAAAAGCCACCCTGCAGCTGGGGAGATAACAGAGCCAGCAGCCTCAGCAGGGGGCGGAGGGAGCGGGTCCACTCACAGGTACAGCCAGTGCTCTCCGTCCCAGCCCGAGACAGACCCCTTCAGGGACCCCATACCCTCCATGGGCTCTCCTACCCACCCCAGGCAGTCACCCGCACCCGGGTGCAGCTGGGACATAGGACAGGGAGGGGCGGGGCAGACCCGCACCTCTCCATCCGGAGGCAGAGGGCTTTTTCCGTTCACCCTTCCCACAGACATTTCCCAAGGCCCTCTGCGGGGTGGCCAGGCGCTAGGGTAGAGGGGTGAACAGCTTTGTACATTTTCTGGAGGGAGGAGGGCAAGAGGGGGGCGGAGGGAATGGGCAGAGCAGCTCAGGACTCGGGTTTTCTGTTCAGGACCAGGGAGGGGGAATCCCAGCCTTGCACCTCAGCACGCGCAGTGCTGCTCTGCACACCCGCGGGCAAGATTCCTGGCAGCGCAGCTTCAAGCCAGGCCCGAGCCCCGTTTCCTCAGCGAAATCGGCCTGAGGCTCCGGGGAGTATGAATTTCTGAGTCCCCCCTCAATCCCTGCTTTCTGTTCTCAGGAACCCCTACACACGCACACACACACACACACACACACACACCTGTACAATGCAACTCCGGGGGCAGCCCCGCCCCCTGCCCACATCCTGACACTCCGCAGGCCGGCCCAGGTGCTTTATTCTTGCCTGCCCTTGCCAGGCAGCGAACGGGGATGTGATACCAGCTCAGAGCATCGGGTGTGCCTCCAGCCATGCCTTGGCCTGCCCCCCACCTGGGGCCCTGACAGCGGCCACCAAACTCAGGCTCCCCGCTCCTCTCCTGCACCCCAGCTTCCAGACGCACCTCTGGGGCGGTCCAATGCTCCAGTCGCCAGGACCCTCTATGGGGCCAGCCTGCGGAGAGCGCCCCTTTCCCCCTTACAACCCCCAAGCTAGTTCTCCGCGGTCTCCTTTGAACAGAGCGGGGCCGCTAATGTTCAGAGGGGCTGGGCCTCCTGCCTACAGCCACAGAGCAAGTGAAGGGGCGGGCTGGAACTCAGGCTCAGGGAGCAGCTTATTCTAGGCTCCGTGTGTGCGTGCGTGCGTGTGTGTGTGTGTGTGTGTGTGTGTGTGTGTGTGTGAAGCCTGCTTCCCAGCTAGCCCTGGGAGGTGGGGATGCTCTCCAAACAAGGGGGGAAATAAGGTGGCGGCCAAGGTCACCTCCAGCCTGACAGGAGTGACAGGAGTGTCCAGTGTAAGGCACCCCTCTCCCCTGAGGCCCACATCCTGGCCTAGAGGGCAGGAGGGAAGAGGGAGGGTATAAAGGCCACCAGGGAAATGGGCAGGGGGGCCGCCCCAAAGGGGTGAGAGGCAGGATGGGACCAGCTCTCCCTGGGAAGAAAGCCTAGGGGGAGTGTGTGTCCTGGGATGAAGAAGGTCCTCTCTCTGGGAGTAAACGGGGCCGCATCCCGCAGGGGAGGCTGGGGACACGAGTCCATGAAGGCGGTGGTTCAGGAGACAGCGCCTCTGTTCCGCGCCTTCGGCCCCATCCCATCTCCTCCCCCGGCGCCCCCTCTCCCCTCCAGGTTAACGGAGATGGCGCCGGCCCCATCTCCTCCCCCGGTACCCCCTTTCCCTACCAGCCCTCCCGCCCGTTGCGGAGGTCAGCGCCGCGGCCGCCAGCTTCAGGCCCCGGAGCCAGTCACCCGCCCTGCCCGGGCCCCCCTCCCACGCCACCCTCAGCCACGCTGCGCCCTTCTCCTCCCCCCCACCCCGCACCCCTCTTCTCGCCACGTGCTGAGCGACTCGGCACGCGTGCGCCTGGGGCCCCGCAGGACATCCCCGCCTCGTGGCAGGCGGACCGCGGTGCCTCCCGTTCCCCGCTCCACGGCCCCGGCCCCGCTCCAGCCCCGGCCCCGGGCGCACCTGCAGTCCGGACTCTTCCCGCGCAGAGGTCCGCGCGCTCTGCCCCGCTTCCCGCGCCCGCCCGGCGCAGCGCATTCAAACCCGCCTTCCGCCCGGCCCGCCCCGGCGCGCCCCCGCCCCGCCCGCCCCCCGCCCCGCCGCCGCTCCCGCCCCGCTCTCCCCGCCTCCTCCCGCCTCCGCGCGGCCCCGCCCCGGGCTGGCCCCGCCGAGCCCGCGGAGGCTCCCGATGCCCGCGGGACAGCGGACCCGAGACCTTCGCCCCCAGGGCGGCTGACCCGCGCCTCGCCTTCGTCCTGGGGCCAGGCCCTCTGTGGGCCGGGCTGCACCAAAGCCTGCCCAGCAGGGAGGCCCAGGACTGCGGCGTTGGAGGGCGCAGGCCCACAGGGGTCCCCCTATCTCCTCGGTGCCGGTGCCGGGGCTACACAAATCCTACACCCCCTCCTCCCAGGGCCCTCCCACCGACACACCTGCTAGACAGGCCTGGCGCCTCCAGCTCCAATCCACACTCTCAGAGTCCCCTTATCACCCCCACCCCGCTCCACTTTCGTCCACGCTGCACCCCTTTCCTCTCCAGCGACCCCTCCTTTTCAGCGCCTTTACTTCCTTTCACACCTGTCCGTCCTGATCTTTGCTCTCCCGCCCTCGACCCCCCCCCCCCCCCCAGGCCTGGGATCCCTCCGACAACACGGGTGTAATCAGGGACCTGCGTGGTGGTGGGTTTTCCCTCTGACACACACAGCCCACAGGTCCGCACAAACACGCCACCCACAGCTCTGCCTCGGAGAGGGGCGTGTGGCTCTGTGTGTGGGTGATGGGTGGAGGCACAGCCCCGTGCCCCCCTCATGATTCACCCTTTCTAAATTCAGATCTTTGGAAAGACGGAGGCACACAGTTGGGGATGGGAAGAGAAAAAAAGCCGGGAGCAAACAGCCTTACATCCTGAGTGAATCCTATTTCCTGGCAGAGGCAGGGACGGAAGCTTGCTGAGCCCCACATCCTCCGCCATGGCAGGATGAGCAGGTGGACATGCTGAGGAGTGGTCAGTCCTAGTACCTCCAAGGGAAGGGGAGGGAATCCCCTCCATTTTTGCAGGTTAGTAAATTTGGGGGAAGGGGGACTCACTGTCCCCCACAGCAGCGCTCAGTGCTGGAGGACAATCCAAAGGCAGAGAGGTGCTGAAGAGAAAATCCAACCCAGTCCCCAACCCCACCCCCTCCGCCCAAGGGGCCTGTCCTCTGGAGAAGCCGCGGACACTAACAATGAGCAGTGCCAATGTCTTAAGGATAGGAGAGGCACACCCTCTCCCTAGATCAGACTGGGCCCCAGGGGAGGAGTAGCTTTGCCACTCAAGGATCAATGGAGCCAAAACTGGTTTGGCTCAGTGGATAGAGCGTCAGCCTGTGGACTAAAAGGTCCCAGGTTCGATTCTGGTCAAGGGCACGTACATTGTTTGCCGGCCCATCCCCTGTGGGGGGTGTGCAGGAGGCAGCTGGTCGATGTTTCTCTCTCATCGATGTTTCTAGCTCTCTATCTCTCTCCCTTCCTCTCTAAAAAAATCAATAAAAAATATTTTTAAAAAAAGGATCAGTGGACACTCCCCAAGCTATCCCAGAAGGGTGTTTCCAGCCTTCGAGCTGTTTGTCCCACAGAAACATGACACATCATCATCCCCCAGTCTTACCCAAACAGAGGGCAGGAAGCGGGGTATTGGTGGTATTTTTGTAGGCACTTTGCTATGGCTTAATGGGGATCACCCGCCCCCCTCCCATCCTACCCTGTGTTTGTCCAGTCTCTCTCTCTTCCTCTCTGGGCCCTCCTCTGCCCTCTTTCTTGGCCCCTGTCTCTTTCTTCACCTCTGTTGACGGGCTTTGGACCTGTGGGGGTGGCAGGCCTTCGTGGTCAGAGAGATCTGCCAGACATGGCTAGGCTGGCGGCCAATGGCTGCAGTTGTGTGCAAAGGGGGCTGGAGTTGGAAAAAACTGGAGGGAAGTGGTGAGGGTTCTAGGCCAGATTGGGGGAGGGCTGGTTCCTCTCTCCACCCCTGCCCAAGCCTGGCCTATTCCCTAGATGGCAACAGCCAGGGCTGTTATTGCTGGACAGAAGCCCGTCTGGCACTTGCCCCGCCTGGGCCCCCTGCCAGCCCCGGTTGCCCTCCAGAGCCACTTCTCTGGGCAGAGATGACCCTGGGTGCCAAGGCCCCCTGCTGGACAGCCCAGAGCCCGACTCTCCCAGCCTGTGCCTGGAGAATTTCAGGTCTCAGCCCCGCTGCCTGGTCCCTGACAATAGGAGTGGGGTGGAACCCCATTTGAAACTGTGGCTCGTCCCTGACTCCATCCAAGCCTGCCTCACCCGAGGCGGCCTCCCTCTGGCCTTGTTTGCTGGAAATGTGCTGGCGGGCCCGGCGTCCTGTCACCAGCACACGCCTCATGACTGGATGCGCTGTCAGTTGTGTTTGTGGTTACGTCTCCATGGCGGGGCTGGGACTAGGGCAAGGCCAGGGAGGTACTTGCCTGAGATGCAAAATTTTAAAGGCGGGGGGGGGGGGGGGGGGGAGTGGTGCCAAAAAATTCAGGAATCAAGATGAATAATATTTTAATGAAATGCTTTAAAAAAAATTGTAGTTAATGAAAAATATCCACGGACAAAACATCAACGTTTAAAATAAAGACAGGATCTGGCCCGCTCAGGGTCAGACTCAGGGGCCTGGAGAGTGGACAGGGGCCTGGGCTTGCCCCTGTGGCCTAATTCCTCAGAACTTCGCCCCTTCCTCTGCCCTGGGTGGGTTTCCGACCTGGCGTGGTCAGTGTGCGTTTGAGGCAAAGTCCCAGGAAGGTCTGCCCTCTGCCAGAAACCGCAGATTCCATCCACGGTCATCCCACCTCCACCGGCACCCTCCGCCGGGGCCCAGCGCAGACCCGCCACCCCGCCACTGCTCCCCGCACCCCGGCGGAGCCCTGGGGGGGGCGGCCCGAGCTGGTAGGAGCCGCAGCCGGAGACCGCGGCCCGCGCCGGGTCTGGCGGGTCCCCGCCGCCGGCGGGAGAGGGGCTGCACCTGCCATCCGGGCTCCCCGGCCGCTCTGTCCCCGCCCGCAGCTCGGGAGCCGGGAGCGCTCCTGGGAGCCGGGCGGCGGTGAGGCCAGCTGCAAGGGAGGCCGGGAGCAAGGCCCCACGCAGGAAAAAAGAAAAAAAGAAAAAGGCTCCCGTGGCCTCGGAGGGGAACGGTCAGGGGACCAGGGGCTCTCACCCCCTGCACCCCGCTGCTCCCCCAGGCCGCCTGCCCGAGGGGCGAGCACGAGCGCCGGCTTTGAGGACGCCAGGGGAATCGCAGGCCCGCGGGGAGGAGGGGGTGGGCTGGCGGGAAGCCCACAGCACAGGAGTGGGGCTCACCGCCCTGGCCTCAGGTCTTCCCCAGCCCTGGCTTCTGCCAGGCGTGGGGACACGATGGGGTCCTGTGAGATGCCTCTGTTCCTCTCTAGGCCCCAGAGCTTGTGGAAGGAGGTGGAGAAGGAGGTGGAGGAGGAAGAGGAGGAGGAGGAGGTGGAGGAGGAAGAGGAGGAGGAGGACTATGGCTGGAGAAGCCTAAACAAATGACCCGGAGGTTGAGATGCAAATACATCTGGCCACTCTCCTTTGCTTTGGCCCCTGACGGACCTCCGGACCTCCAGCTGGGGAGGAGGAAATGAGAGCTGAGTTCCTCAGTACCCGCACCCCACCCCCTGCACACCCTTGCCAGTAGCAGCCTCTCTGCCCGCAGAGTGCCCCTCAGGAGCAGGCATGTCTGCACTGCTGTCCACGGGGCCTCTCAGCCAACAAACCCCCCTCTTCCTGCCAGCAGGAGCCGAGAAGAGGCTCCTAACGCAGTCAGGGACATTTTCCTCCTTACCGGGAGCTGGACAACCCAACTCAGAGAGAATAGAGTGGGGCCGGAGGAAGCCTTGAGCTGCTCCTCACCCCCAGCTCCCGGCCAGGTGAGACTGCCTGGCCGCGTGCGGCTGATAAGAATTTCAAAGGTGCCCCAGGAATTCAACAATATTTATTGAGCACCTGCTGCATGCTGGGCTTTGGGGCGGGACTGAATCCGGGGTGGTGTGGGAGTGGGGGTGGGGGAAATCAAGGTTTCATGCTTTTAAGGTAAATCCTCAGTCGGAAAGACAGTCTGGGTTAAAATCTCGCCTCTCCACTAAATGGTCAATTGTCCCTCCCAGGACCCCATGCCTGCGTTTGTCGGGGTAAAGGCCCTGAGGCCTGCAGAGAGGAGGTACAGACCAGTTTTCTGCTAGAGGCAGGGCCTGGTTCCAGTCTTTCCTGCTGGGCCCGGGAGGCAAGTCCTCAGACCCCTCTCATGCTCAGTCCCGAACCATGTCGAATGCCCACTGGGCAGGCTTTGGTCCCTGATGGTGCCAGGACCGTCTTACTCCACAGAGAGCACTCGGTTCCTGCTGTGACCAGGACTCGTGGCCTCATTTCTGTGGGGCTACCCTCTCCCTCCTCTCAGGGCGGGCTGCTCTGGAGGCCTCTCCAGAGTCTGGCTGGTGTCTCTGGCTGAGGAGGAACAGCAGACAGCTCAGCAAAGCCTCACGTAAGTCCCAGGAGCCCAGGCGGCGGGCCAGGCGACTCAGCAGGGGCAGGAGGTGCCGGCGGGCCAGGCGGGCGGCGGGCAGCAGCAGGCGGGACAGCAGTGTCCGAAGCAGGAGTGGGAGCAGCGGGGCGGGCATGGCCGGGTCAGGGACTTGGAAGGCAATCCAGAATCTGGGCTTGCCTCTCCGGCTTTCTCCTCACCTGCAAAGACACGGGATGATGGGCAGAATTCCCACCCTCTTCTGTTTCCCCCATCACACTCCTCAGACCTCAACTCATGGGTTGCTTTCGCTTTCCCAAAGCTCTGTCTGTTGGTGAGGTGGCTGGGGCAGGAGGGGTTCTCCCGGGAGAGGAAAGCCGGGACCAGGGCCTGCAGCCCGCCATTCCCAGCCTTCGGGGCTTCTACAGCCCCCTGCACGCTTCCCTTCTCTATTCACCCTCTCCTGTTGCACACACACACACACACACACACACACACACAAACTCTAGACATTCTCCATTCCTTCTCCCTTAATCCAACAGAATTTCCTCCCCAGGCAATTCTCACTTTTCTCTTTGGGCCCTTGATCCAGCCTGACCTGACACTCCTTAGCCTCCCAAACCCCCACACCCGTGGGCAGCAACTCTTACCCGTCAGAGCCACTGCTCTGAAGCAATCTCTGCCTGGCTTTGCTTGTGGGGACACAACTTCACAGGACACTCAGGACACAGGGCTGCCCCACCCAGCCCAGCCCCACCCACGACAGCTTGCCAGGGTGGGGGGAGCAAGGGAAAGACAGCTGTGTGCTGGCACCTGGTATCTATCTGGAGGGGAGGGGGCAGCTGGGCCTCAAGAAGTGGAAGGAACAGATGCAGGAATTCTCCTGGCTGGGTTCAGGCCTCGGAGGAGATGGAACCTGGACTGCACGTTCTAATGATGCGGCTGTATGCACGCTGATTCTTCCGGCTCCAATCCCCTCCTCAGGTACCTCAGTACCAAAGGAGGTGGCAGGGGGATCTGGGAGGAGTGACTGACTGGGACTGTGTCTGAGACCCACTTGCCTACATCTCAGAAGCAGTGACACTGCAGCAGCCCAGACGCACTGTCCCGGCCCGCAGGGCAACAACGGGGGTACGCAGGAACCACCTAAGATAGGGGTGTCGAACTCAATCAGAGAAGGGGCCAAAATCTAAAATCCAGCCTAAATCGAGGGCCGAATGGTTTACTGAACAGTCATAAACTGTCATTGTGATGGAAACACAGCGGAGTGCAGTGATGACAGTGCGGTGCAGGCCACATTGCAAGGCCTGGCAGGACAGATTTGGCCCGAGGGCCTTGTGTTTGACACATGTGACCTAAGAGAATGAAACAAACAAGGAACTCGAAAGAATGGAGGCAAGACAAGGTTCTGATCAAGCCTCAACTTTATTCTTTGAAATGGCTGTATTTATACAGCAGAAACAAAGGGGGGCAGGGTTGCCTATGCAGAGGGGTCTTTGGCACTTGGCAACACAGGATTGGCTAACTGCCAGGGCGGTGTAACATTCCAAGGTGCAACATTCCAAGGCTGGGCTATCTAGGGGGGGGGGGGGGGGGGAGGATCAGGAAGGGGAAGTTGCTAAGCGGCAGGAAGATGCTAAGCAGTTAATCTTATCTTCTGGCCAAACCCTCAGGGCACCGCATAACTTCTGCTAGAAGGAACTTAATTCTATTTTCTTAAGACTGAGTTGCTTGTCTCAACTCTGCTGGCTCCCAACAGTGACACTGCAGCAGCCCAGATGCACCAGGCATCCTCAGTGGGCGAGATGGAGAATGGGACCTGGGCAGGCAATTGCGGGCCCTCCCCCAAGGCAGGGGAGTGGGGTCCCAGTCCAGCTCACAGCGGGGCCCAGTTGGGAAGAGCTGGGCGGCACTCCAGCTGAGGAAGAGGAATACCCACTTCAGGACCCTCTTCTCTACCGACTCCCCCACAACCCCAGCCCCAAGATTAAATTAAACTCCACATGGCAGCAAGCTGTAGAGGTCTCCCGGGTTTGTTTTGTTTTACAACGTATACCTCATTCCCCTATTTCATAAAGTGGATATCATTTCGGCCTGCCTGGACTCAGATGAGATAATAGTTGTGAAAGTGTTTCATAAACGTTAGCCTCGCCTTGGGAATATGACCCTTTATCATTGCTTCACCACCAGCCTCCCGTGGCGTCATCACACTTCCAAAATCACCAAAGACAGAAAGAAAACGTAACCATCTAAAGGGCCTGTCCACTTCCCCCTGGGGGAAGCAGGAGCCAGAGTGCAGACTTGTAGGCGTTGTATTCCTCTCCTTCTGCTTTCTTCCCGGAGGTTTGTGATGGCCGTGTGCCGTTCCTGGTACAGAGGTGGGAGGTGTACCAGGTACATATCCTGTTTTCCTGAAAATAAGACAGGAAAAAATATTAATTTTTGCTCCCAAAGATGCGCTAGGTCTTATTTTCAGAGGATGTCTTATTTTTCCATGAAGAAGAATATGGTACACATTTATTGTTAAAAGAAAATAAAGGAAATTTATTACCTGTATACGGTACGGCAGTTGTCAACACAAACCAGACAAACTGTGAATCCTACAGTATCAAGAATTAACTCATTTATTCAATGACAATCATGTCATCATCTTCTGGAACATCATCATAACAATCCAATTCCTTAATTTCTTGTGACTCCATTTCTTTCAGAATCAGTGGACCAAATCTCTCATGTTTAGCCTAGGGGGGCCTTATTTTCGGGGGATGCCTTATATTTCACTCAGAAGGAAACCTATAAGTAGGTCTTATTTTGGGAGGATGTCTTATTTTCCGGGAAACACAGTATGTGTGCCACGCGGTGAGTGCGTGATCTCTCTCAGTCCTCACCACCACTCTGCAAGGGAGCGGCTATTATTCTCATTGATGAGGAAACTGAGGTTCAGCGTGCGAGAGCAACTTACCTAGGATTGCCGCAGGTGGATGGCCTGCTCTCCCTCCCAAGCCTGCCCTTCCCAAAGGCTTTCCCGTCTCTGCAAGTGGCAGCTTTTCTAGTTACTCGGGCCCAAATCCTCCACTTCTCTCTTCCTATCACAGTTCACTGTCCGTATTTGTATATCCAGGTGGCGCTACTTTCTACTATTCTGGAATAGAAAGCTCTTTTTTATTAAAGTACTGGAGGCCCAGCACACAAAATTCGATTCCTAGACCTAGCCTGCAATCAGGGCCATCTTCCCGGATGTCTGCCCCACCCCCTGCCACCACCCACCCAGGGTCCCAATTTGCCATCTGACAATCGGAGCCTGATGGCCAGGGGGGTGACAGGGGGTGTCCGGGAAGGACCAAGAGGTCCAGCGGTCCCAACCGCTTGATGGCCCCACCCCCGCCCTCTGTGTGTGGAGCAACCAGTGGGGTGGGTGGTGGGGGATGTGGGCGGTGCCAGGCAAAGGCCCCCACCTTGGCCTGGCACTGCCCGCATCCCCCGCCACCCACCCCCTGGGTCCCTGTTCGCCATCAGGGGAAAAGGTCCGAGAGGTGGTCAGTGCACCTCATAGTGACGGGTCAGTGGTCATTCTGCCGTTATGGTCGCTGGGCTTTTATTCTATAGGACAGTTGACTTGCCATATTATATTAATTTCAGGTGTAAACATAGTGATTTGACATTTATATACCTAATCAGATAGATGGTCCTGTAACTGTCTGTAACCATATAAAGGTACAGGCAGTCCTTGGGTTACATCAGACTTGACTTATGTCATTTCGTGGTTACATTTTATTTACAGTATTTATAAAAAAAAAATTCTGTCATTTCAACGTACATGCTTCATGTTTTTTATTATTTACCACAAATAAAGGTCAGGAATTGTTATCTTTCTTTTTAAAATTATTTTTGTTTCACTTCATTACTGCTGTGTATGTGCTCCATGTGAGTGACGTAGTTACTTACTTATGTAGGCAGGTTCTGACTTACAGAGAAAATCGAGTTATGTCATGCCGTAGGAGCGGCTCTCCGATGTAACCCGAGAACTGCCTGTATTGCGATATTGGCTGTATTTTATATCCCTGTGACCTATTTATTAGTTTGTACCTCTCAATCCCCTTCACCTTTTTGCCCATCTCCCCACCACTCAGCAGGAGCTCCTGTCAACTATCAGTTTGTATTTATTAGGGTTTTTTTTCGTTTGTTTGTTAATTTATTTAGTGTTTTTTAAAATATATTTTTATTGATTTCAGAGAGGAAGTGATATATATATCAGACGCTTCACCACTGAGCCATGCCGGCTGGACTTGTTTAGTTTTTTAGGTTCCACATATAAGTGAAATGATATAGTATTTGTCTCTCTATGAGTTATTTAACTTAGCACAATCCTCATCTGAGCATTACCTCTCACCTGAATTATCGTCCTAATTGGTGTTCCTGTTTTTCTTTTCCACACAGTACTATCAATAGAATGATCTTCATCAAATGTGGATCAGATTCTGTCCTTTCTTTGCTCAAACTGTCCAATGGCTCCAATTCATTCAGAGTTAAAGCCAAAGGCTTAATCTATGACCTGTAGGGCCTGGCCTGGATGGTCTGATTGATTCAACTCTGAGTTCTTGCCTCTCACTCTGCTCCAGCCACACTGGCCTCCTCGCAGTTCCTTAACATGTCAGATGCCAGACGTGTTTCTGCTGCAGGGCCTTTGCACCCTGCAAGGCTTTCTCCAGGTATCACCATGGCTCCATCTCTTATCTCCTTCAAGGTCTGCCCAAACGTTATCCATCCATCCATCCGTCCATTCATCCATCCATCCTATTTTTAAAATAGACTTTTATTGATTTCAGAGAAGAAGTGATATATATATCAATGACGAGAATTATTGATGGGCTACCTCCTGCACACCCCCCACTAGGGATCGAAACTGTAACCATGGCATGTGCCCTGACCAGGAATCGAACCATGACCTCCTGGTTCATAGGTCGATGCTGGACCGCCCTGGTCAGGCCATCCATCCTATTTAAAAGTGCACTCCTTCCTCCCCATCTCCTGTTGCCTTCTCTCCATCCCTTCCTCTGCTTTGTCTCCATAACAAATCATTGTCTGACATGCTATATATTTTCTTTTATTTCCTATCTTATTGCTCTCCGCCTCCTGCACTAGGATGTAAACTCCATGAGAGTAGGCACTTACCTCTGTTTTGTCAGCTGCTATGTCCCCATTGCCTGGTAGTAAATATTTGATATAAGAATAAATAAATAAGCCCAGGTAATGTGGCTCAGTGGTTGAGTGTCAACCTATGAACCAGGAGATCGAGGTTTGATTCTTGGTCAGGGCATTTGCCTGGGTTGCAGGCTTGCTCCTCAGTGGAGGGCATGCAGGAGATAGCCAATCAATGATTCTCTCTCATCATTTATATCTCTAGCTCTCTCTCCCATTCCCTTCCTCTCTGAAATCAATAAAATATAGTTTGAGGGAAAAGATTAAAAAAAGAAGAAGAAGAATAAATAAATGAAAGTTCTGTGACAGGATCAAATCCAGGCCTGCTTGCCCCTGAGCCTGTGCTTCTAAGTCCAGAACTCATTGATCTGAACACACTACTAGGATATGTGTGAGAACCCTGCAGGCCACACCTAGCTGGAGAGAGTGCTTGGAGTACTGGGCCTCCCGCTCTTAGCCCCCTTCCTGCTTGTCCCCATCCAGGGGTCCTAACCACTCTACAAGCTGGCCACCGCCTCTGCCACCGCCTGCACAGGGAGGCTCAGGGCACTTAC